TCCATTGTAGACGTCCTCCAATTGTGTTATTTTCGGTCATTTTATAAAATTATTTATTTTTATATATTTTATAAAATGGTTCAGTAAGGGTTATTTAATCAACTTAAGGTTTAAATTTGTTAGAGGAACCTATTTGCACCAAATTGAAACTTTAGGGAAGTTTTTTGCATGTGAGGGGCATCATCCAATAGTGTCATTTTCGGTTATTTTACAAAATTATTTATTTTTATATATTTTATAAAATAGTCTAGTAAAGTAGGGGTAATTTAGTCAACTTAGGATTTAAATTTGTCAGAGGGACCTACTTGCACCAAATTGAAACTTTAGGGGTATTTTTTGCACATAAGGAGTGTGATATGCTCTATAAACATACTTTAGGGGTGTTTTCTGTACTTGACCCCAAGTAAAACCTATTCACCACCCTTCTAATTTATTTTTAATATAAAATTCTACATCCTATTCTGCTGCTCACATGATATATATATATATATATATATATATATATATATATATATATATATATATTCCTCCAATGGTCTTTTCTAATCAATAGACAAATACCTTTTTTATTTTTTATTTTTTATTCCAGGATTTACCAAACACAACGTGATCCGAGGGCTAGCTTTTAGGGGTTAGCGCTATTATGAACAATAAAGAAGGATTTGGATCCCCTAATTTAAAAAATTTCTAAATTATATCACTACCAAATTGACACTGACATTTAAAATCTATTTATTGTTGGTGTTAAACTACCTCAATTAATTTAAAGAAAGTTTAAAAACCACCATTTTGAGATAAAGAAAATTTATCAGAGTTTAAAAATTGTACCCTTTTAAATTAAAAAAAATTCATCATACTCTAATGACGTTTAACGTCATTATCTCTCCCTCAACTTTTTCAAAAAAAATCTTCCATCTCTCTCCTCTTCTTCATTCCAATGGGGGAATATTTCGCGTAAAAAGTGAATGTTCTTTGCCATGGAATAGAATGGACGAAAGTGTGATTGCAAGCATGCAACTTTTATTGGCAACAGTTCTGATTGGAAAAGAGTATGTGTGTGTGTACATATATATATAAAAGCAATGAAGTTACGAAAATACAACCAAAAACCCTATACAAATATGAGAGAAAACATTAGTCAGGTTAAAAGAGAAATAGACACCATCTCGACTTGTTTAAGATATATATAAAGAGGAAAGTGATGATCTTTTGTTGGAAAAGATGTGGGAGAGATAACGAAGTTAAAACGTAGTTAGAGTATGGTGAATTTTTCTTAATTTAAAACGGTGTAAACCACCAGTAATAAATAGATTTTAAATATCACATGTTAATATGTATTAATTCAACTTAAAATAACTAGAGGATCCAATTTCAAGAAAGAAATGACATATTGCGTCATAAAAGGAAAGGGATCCATGGGAACAAAACAAAGGACAACAAATAGTTGTTAATGGATTAAAGGACTTATTGGAATACAATGGCAAAATCAAGAATTTCTCATAGTGGGGACGACATTGGATAATAATTTTAAAGCAAATTTTTTTTTGAGTTAAAATAATGAATACAAGAATATTTAATTAATAATATTTCTATTCATCAAGTTCAATTGTATCGATGAGAGGGTAAAAATAAAATTGTATCGATGAGTCATCATATTTGGGCAGTGATTCATTAATTTGTTAATCAAATATGACTCTTTCATGGTACTTTTTCTTGCGATAAAAACAAAAAGAAAAGATGGAAGAAACACAAGCAATCAGACCAAGGACATTTTTGCAATTTTGTGGGAGCATTTCTACAATCACCAAAGGATAGGCAAACAAAATTAAAAAATAGCCATGCAAAACTAAAATAACAAAAAAAATTCAATGGCAGTTGATGCTACTGCATAGTTTAGGGAGCAATGATATGAAAAATAGATTAATAAGGGTAATATTGAAGTATAGTTAGTAAAAGCTCTAAAGCTCATACACCATGAATTCATTCCATCACTCTTTTATTTTGATTTAATATTGGGATATGTTAATAACTATTTACGTGATTAAGAACAAGTTGGTATTTATGACTACGGTGAAAATTCGGCAAAAGATTTTATTATACGAAAAACAGTAGATTACAAGTTTCAATCCCCAAATCCTAGCTCGTGTCTCACTATCCCACTCTAAATCCTAAAAGTCCTAATACACCTGACTAAAAGAGAGTACTAACAAGAGTTCAGTAATTCACAACCTACAAGGGAAAAAAAAAAAAAAAAAAAAAAAGAAGAAGAAAGATACAATCTTGCTTTTGGGGTCAAATTTGGATCACAATGCGACCCAAGCCTAAACAAAATTCCGATCACAACATCACAGGATATGATTAAAAAAAGAAGTATAGATATGGTATTTTTTACAACTAGGTTTTTTATTTACATTTGTATTATACCCGGATACATGTAGATGTGTAAAACGTTCTTTTCTTTTATGATTTACATTTTTTATTTCAAAAAGCAAATCATACTATACCCGTATGTATCACCTACCTTATTTTCACGTTCCATATTTCACTATGCATTGGAATAGTTGACGATAAAGCACGATTACATTTAGAGGTGGAGCCAGGATTTGGGGGCAATATCAAACTTCCGTATCACAAATAAGATTTAAACCAAAATTTACAAAACTTTCAATTAAACAATTAGACTTTAATTTATAAATAAATACAAATTTGTTGTAATAATAATACAAATTAATAATCAAGCAAAAACTAAAATGCATAATGTCTATTACATATTAAACTATTCATTTCATTATTTTCAATTATTAAATAATAGTATAATTGTATAAAGAGAATAATTCAAAAATGATACATCTAATTCAGAGGTCATTTACACCAATTTTTGCCAAATATGAGTAAGACTCCGTTTGAACCAGTTTACCAGTTTTATACTTCCGGCTACATCAAAATAAGTATGAATTGCAACACTTAAAAACTAAATGTTGAAAATTAAAAAAAAAAAATACATATATTATATGTATAAAAAAATATATGATTATATACTTCATCCGTCCCAAAATAGTTTTCTGTTTGGGAATTGTGATTCACAGTCACAAAGCATACAACTATTTTAAGACAGATGAAGTAATTCTTATTGTATTTGAGAATTTGAACTATTCATTACTCACTTTTTATCTCAACTCAAACGTGTGAGAGAATTTTTTTTTTTTTTTTTTTTTTTTTTTCTTTTTTTCAAATTGGAAGCGAATCTCTGAATCAATTAATAAAGGAAAATAATACTTGCACTGAATAGTTATAGTGAATTGCTAGACCTAATTTTTTAATTGGTCAATTATGTAACAAATAAGAAAATAGAGTCCTCTATTTAGTTGTATTCGATATAAATAACTAATTAGAAATTAACTAATTCACTGCTCACAAGTGACAAGTGTTCGGTGTGAGTACACAAGAGTATCTGAAAGGGGGGTGAAAAACAAAACAGTTAGGCATCAGTTTGAAACAACTAGCCAATCAGACACCTACTTCTGCCAATAATCCGCATATACAATAACTATACAAAACTTGCGTATATTATATATACACAATCTTAGTATATCGCAAATGAATTTGGACCTAAATTTGTTAAAGGCCCGTTAGGAAAAAAATATTTTCAGGGGCAAGTATAGACCATCCCAAAAAGAAATTCAAAATTTTTGGGGAGAGGCCTACACATTCTCCCAACCAACAAATAAAAATTCATAGCATTCAATACTTTCTTTTTTCTTTTTCCTTGACAACTCCCACAATCCATTTTAAAAGGAGAAAAGATACTTCCGAGATTATGTTGGTAATCATTCTTCAATTTACCCACCCAATGTTTAATTTGTTTTTTCCTCTTATGCAAATAAATCGTGATTTGGTAATAAGGTATTTGGAAGTAAAAAAACATAACACAATCAACAATGGTCTCTCTTCAGTATGTCATGCCTTTTGGTCCAGTTAAATGATAAGAACTCAAAACAGCAACTACAGTGTTCCAATTGTCAAATTTTGAAATCAACAAATCACAAAGTACATATTCAAAATGCAGATAATCAAAGAACTTTTCTTGTTTAAGTAATAATTTTAGAGGAAATGATAGCCAAGAAATTAACTAGGAGTAAACAAAACTCAGAAGCAAAACAGAAAATGGACATCCAACAAGTTTTTTCTATGATCACAATTACCTCCCTCTTTCATCTGGAAATGAAGGTTGTCCCAGAGCCTTTTAGAATAATTATCTAAATAAGTAGTAATTAATTCTTAAAATCTTTTTCAGTAAACAGGGGGAAAAAATTGAAAAGCAACTCAAATTATAAATAAGCAATCTTATTATTAACAGATAAATTTTGTATTTAGTTTTTCACTTCTTACTTTTTTAGTATAAATATCTAAATTGGTAATTAATTTTGTTAATAAAATTTCAATCAATTTTTAGATTTTGTTAATAATATCTCAATCAATTTTTTGATTTTGATTGTGTAATTTTATTATTTCCATATTATTTGGTTAATCATTTTTTAATTAATGTATATTCTATATATGATGTGTAAAATCAATAATTTATAGAAAATCTAAGTTTTTTACAAAAAAATTAAGAAATTTACTTAATCATATAATAAATAACCCGCAAGTCGCAACACCTTTTTTTATTAAATTTTACCTATTTAAAATTCACGCACTCACTTTGTTCACCAAAGAAGATATGTATTCTGAATCTTTCACTTTAAAAAAATGTATATATATATCATTACACCATACGATACTCTTAAGTATCTAACCACTTTTTTTTTTTTTTTTTTTAATTCTCCTACTAAAGTTGGTGGGGGTGTATTTGGTTTTGCTTAACCTAGTGATAATATGTGTTTGTTGCATTTATCTGGTAACAAATAATTCCATCGTTATTTACAACATATAATTATATGGTAAAAGTGTATACCTGATTTCAAACAATAATATTATTTTTGTTTTAAAAGTGAAGTACATTTTTTTTTTTTTTTTTTTTTTAATCGAGTGAAGTGCAATTTGAAAAATCGAAATTGCAAACATTACCTCTGCAACCGTATTGAGCTCATGTGATCAAATTAACCACTCTGCCTACCAAATCCTCACAAGAAGACACCAACTATGGATACACAAGACTCTTTAAATCATCATCATATATATATATATATATATAGAGAGAGAGAGAGAGAGAGAGAGAGAGATTGGTTTTTGCTGATTCTTGAGAGTTTTGGTTTCAGTTTCACCTGCTCCAAGAACAAATGCAGAAGAGGGTTTGTCATCCACATGAATGCCTTGGTCAATTATTGACATATATTTGATTAGCACTTTGCTTCCGTAGCCCATATTTTCAGCTGAACACTGCACTTAAATAATATCTCCTGAATTACCAGCCTTAATTAAGCTAAAATTATGATTACTCACAAACTTCATTGCTCCCTCAATGCCAATGATACTCTTTTGACACGAAGCAATGCTGTATGAATCTCAAACTCATGACACCCCATTGCACTGTTTCGAACTCTCATTTCCAACCCCACCCCCCAAATTGCTGAATTCCAGCAATACCTTAATAATGATTTTTTTTCCCCATTATTTTGCTCTTCTAGTGAAAAGAGAAACCTCCACACAGGACTGTGACATCGATGCTATTTTTTATTTTTTATTTTGCAGGGAACCATATCTAAAAGGAAGAGAAATTGAGACGTTAGACATTTATCACAGTTTTTCAATATTACTTGTACCGAATGTACATGCTATGTACACAAGCCTTGGCCAGACTGATAATACAAGAATGCCATGAAATCTCTCTCTCTCATATTCATATGACATGATCAAAAGTTTTGACCTGTCAAATTAAACATTAATGCCGAGAACTGTAAGAAAGGGTTATTACCATACTGTTGTAGTATATTCCAGGCTTTTTTGCAAGAGACAGCTCTGGCTAGCGGCTACAATCATGTCCGGAAGGGTATCCCACACTTGCAACTTTGGATTGTTATCCAACTAAGTTTGGGAGTTCATGATACATACAGCTGCCTCATTGGTGTTAGAAGCCTCGCAAAACGGAGGGGTACATATGCCCTGACCAATGTTCCATTCTCAGTGTATTCCTATGAGGAGAAAAAAGGGGGGAAAACACACGAGAAAACTAGCTTCAGTAATTGTGCTAACCATTTATAAAATGATTACTATATAAGAAAGTTATGGAAAGGCAAAACCAACATTTCAAAGATTGAGCAACATCTGTTTTATTTTTCAACCACATAAGCCTTCTCGAACAGGGTGGTAGCACAATCTTGTTCCAAAATGTCAATTATTTAGAAACACTTAACCAAGTAAATAGCATGACAATTAACTCTCTTCACCGACCTGAACTTATCTTATTGAGTTCCTCTTGAAAGCAAACAGATTAATTAATAGGTTAATCTTTTCAATACAACCACCCCACCCCCACCCCCACCCCCACCAGGGCACGGCCACAAAAACCAGAAGCTGAACTCAATGAAACGAGGGGAAACCTCATGGAAGCACCAACTACAGCATATCTGGTGAACCAGTGAAAAGCATTGAGCATTCGGAAGTGGTCCTTTTTAACCATGTGAAAGCACAAACCAGCCAAACCCGTCAACGCGTTAATGGACTCAAATAACTTTAAGATAAAATTGAAAAAGTTGTTGAAAAATCGATGTAAAGTGCTATAAAGAGACCAATCCCGTCTGTAACAAAATAGAAATCCCTCTCAAGATCTAAATACTCAAGCCTTGCCTCAAGCCTACTGATTCATCAACAATGTCTTATCTCTTTTCCATGAACTCTCTCTCTCTCTCTCACACACACACACATTTGGGTTTATTTAAAATGATAACATAGCTGATTTTCTTTCTTCTCAAATGACAACGTATTTATTTCATTGGTGTTTAACTTCTGATCATTACTCAACTGAGGACAAGCAAGCCCTCCTTGCTTTTCTCTCACAGATCCCTCACGAGAATCGAGTCAATGGAACGCCTCCGACTCGGCTTGCAATTGGGTTGGTGTCGAATCCGACGCCAATTGCTCCTTTGTCTACTCTCTCTGGCTTCCGGGCATTGCCCTTGTGGTTCAGGTTCCGGAAAACATAATTGGAAAACTGACTCAGCTCTGTGTGTAAGTCTCTACTTTAACCATCTCTTCGGTCAGATTCCCTCTGATTTCTCCAATCTAACGCTTCTCTGTAGCCTCTACCTCCTGAACAACCAGTTATCCGGCGAGTTCCCACCCAGCATCACCGAGTTAACTTGGTTGGCCCGTCTAGATCTCTCCACCGACAACCTCACAGGAACAATACCATTTGCCGTCAACAATCTAACCCAGTTAACCGGATTGTTTATAGAGCAATTTCATGTTTCTACAGTTTTAATTTTTAAGTAACATTGTTCATCTATCTTCAAGAGAAGTAAAAAGAGAAGTCGTTTAAATAGGAGCTGGTGTCTCATTTAAGTTGATCACAGTAACTAGCTGAGATTTAAGAATATTAACTTTAAGATTTAAGAATATTAACTTTCTCCGATTTCTTTGGTCGACAAAAGTTGAGATCTGCGGTTTTGATCTACCTGGAGCAAGGATTCTAATAAATGTTTAATTGTTCAAGGTTCACTATAAATAGTGATTTTATTCATTAGTTTTCATGTGCAACACATTAGCCCACGTCTAATTTCTCACAGTTTCATCACCAAGCCTTCTTTTACCTTTATCATTCTCTAGTTTTAAGTAACATCGTTTATCTATCTCCAAGAGAAGTCATTTTAAATAGGAGCTGGTGCCTCCTTTAAGTTGATCACAATAACTAGGTGAGCTTTAAGAATATTAAATTTATTTTGACTTCTTTGGTCGACATACATTGAGATGTGAGGTTTTGATATACCTGGAGCAAGGATTTTAATAAATGTTTAGTTGTTCAAGGTTCACTATAAATAGTGATTTTATTTGTAGTTTTTGTGTGTAACATTTTAGCCCACGTCTAATAACTCATAGTTTCATCACCAAGCCTACTTTTACATTACTTTGATCATTCTCTTTCCAAAATGGGCACTGCTTACTGCAGTAGTAAAATCTATGGTTGCCAAACAATGCCGTTTCAAGTCTGAGAACAACCACCTTATGCAAATAACGCCAAAGAGTATGTCTGCACCCATTCTACATCTCCAATCACTCTTCATAAACGAAGGACCAAAAGTGAGACCAAAGGCGAGAAGTACATTTGAGAATTCATCCCAAGGGTCCCATGCATAATTATTACTCCCTCCGTCCCATTTTAAGTATCCCTTTTGGGAAACTCACTTTTTAAGATGTGGTTTTTAATATTTTTTTATCGTATTGGTAGTGAATGAATTACCAAATATATCCATGGTGGGTCCAAGTGACGTAATGGTTTTGTTTTTTGAAGTTCAATGCAAGAAGGGTAAATTGGGAATGCTGTAAAATATACATTGACTTTTGAATTGGGACAATTATTTTGGGACAGCTAAATATGGAAAGGTGGATACTTATTAAGGGACCGAGGGAGTATATGAATAACATACTATATTTAAAAAACAGTCATTTCAAACACAAAAATGTTTCGGTAACCACATACAAGGATTTCTGAAGACTAAAATTTGGAGGTTAGAAAAAAATATGCACTTCATTGTTATTTATAGAAGAATTATTAATTAGTGATGTAGACAAAAAAAAAAAATGGACAGATGAAAGGGAAAAGGTTATTAAATTAATTCAAGGGGCAAGAGAAAAATACTCACAGTTCTCTCAACCATTCCGACCTGATGTATGTTACTGAGGAGTTCTCCTTTGTCAAATGGAATCAAAGCTTCCACCCAAACCATGGAATCCTGTAAAAAAAAACAATAACTTTTTCAGCACAAAAATACAAGAATTTGGAAAATATAAATTGGAGGACATCTACTATTAAAATCAAGAATATAACAAAATAACTATGCTCTAATTCAGTGAAAATCATCATCAATTCAGGACCTTCAGTTTCTCCTGAACTGCATTGCAGAATTCCTCTAACCCGTCACCATTTAAAGCAGATATGCATACAATATCTTCTTTTTCCTCTGCTTCTAACTTGATTTTATGAGGATTGCTAGCTTTGTCAACCTGTCAAAAGTAATTGTAGAAGTCATGCTGTGATCAGATCAACCTAGAATGCATGTTCCCATTAGTGAAACTCGTATTTAAATCATAGAATGAGTGACAAACTACAGTAAGAAGATTCACATTTGTATTAAGAGAATTAAAAAAGAGAACTTATCATTTATCTTTTCTTTTTTTTTTGACAAGTAACTTATCATTTATCTAATTAACCAGCAGGATAACAACACCAGAACACCCTGCAATTCAGGGCTGGAAGGAAATGTGTAATCTACTCCAACAATGCTCATAAAATGGTTTGAGACCATGACCATTAATTTCATTATTCTTCTAATTAGTGACAAAAATATTTCTGAGCAAAAGATTATCAATTTGATGGCCATCAATATCCAAATAGATTACTAATTTTAAATATTGTTTTACAAATGGTCTGCTGACTCGATATTTCTTTCTTGCCAGAATCTTCAGAGGAAAAAAAAAAAGAAGAAGGGAAGGATAAGATGAACACTACCTAATCAATGGATCTTCTTGTGTCAAGGTCAACAACAAAATCTGACTCTACATAATATTCTGGAAACACAATACTAACAAAAGATCCACTCCTCAACATCCCAACACCCTCTCTAGGATTTTCCAGTATATACTTCGATACCAATTGTTGTGCACATGGATTGCGTTTTAAAAAATACTAAATAAGTTGCAATATGTGAAAGAATTGAAAAGCTAGCTTGTACCCAATATATCTGAATTAATTGGGTTAGACTCCTCTTCCTCAAAGCATATAGTGCTCAAAGTTACATTACGATAATGAAATTACAGACAAAGAATGAGAAACTAAAATCCTAATTTATGATGCAAAATCTAGAAAGTAATTAAATATTGGCCAACATGTTTTGATCCAAAGCCAATTTAACTCTAGAGTCACCATCTAGTTTTAGGACAATAGGAAACCAATAAATCACATTCCCTATTCAAAGCCATGATATTGTTACCAAAACTCAAGGATTAAAAAATTAAGTTATGATGCGAAAGCATCCAAAAGATTGCTTACACCCATATTGCCTGAACTAATTTGATATTTACTCATCACCCTTGGAGCTTGTTAATTTGTCAAAATTACACTAGGATAATCAAAATACAAAAAATAGAAATGAGAAACTATGATCTTAGCTTGCCAAATTACACTAAGACTCGACCCTTCATTCATCTTCTATGCCCATTGAATTAGAATAGAAGCAAGGTTTATAGAAAAATTATGAAAGAAACTGCCCTAAAAAGAAAAAGGGCAAAAAAAAAACACATATGAGTTAGAAGCCGAGGAGGAATTGTTTTAAGATAAATAAACTAAGCTCAAAGGGAGGGAGGGAGGGAGGGGGGTGGGGGTGGGGTGTAAGGGGATCAAGATTCAATAAATAAAAGGTTATGTTACCTTGAGCAAACTCACTGAACAACTCTCCCTTAATCAAAAGCTCAGTCTTAAGAATTTAGTACCTTAAAATCAATTACCTAACCCGCTTTCCTCAAGTTTTCAAGAGGATAACTCGGTCTGGCTCTGAAGCCTTCAGGATCTCCTTTGGATCACTTTTAACCATCAAATTGTGCCCCAAGACCTCTAGGAAGTGGGGCTATTAATAGTTGAGTATTAGGGTAGGTATGGTTTCCTAAAATCAGTGGCTGCAAAATGTTTAATTTATTTCAACAGCCAGAGAAAAAAACTCTTAACACGCTAGTGTTATGCTTGGGGAACAGGCAAGCCACAACCAAGACAAAAGGATCCACAAAAGTCTCCTCCTGATAAAAACACTGCATTTTCTATATTCAAGTCTCCTACACTGGATCAGGTGTACTGAATCACATACTGTGAAAGACATTTCGAGCGTAGATATCCTAAATCGAGTGTAAAGTCCTGATTTGGGTTCAGTGGCTGCCTATGCTTTCTTGAAATGTAACTCAAAACTCCATCATTTTTTGCCTAAAAAACTTTCATTGCCATGGGTATTTCGATACATTTATGAGGCCCGGAAAAAGATGTTCAAGTGTTAAACATAATCCAAAAAAAACCCCTCAAATTGAGGAACTAGGGTGAAGCATTTCATATTACATTACTACTTCTGTATTGTCATTGGATGCTCAAGGTTGCCTAGTGTAAAAATGGGATGCTTATAGACACACTCAAAGAATATCTTGGCCTCGAATGCTAAAATGGATCGAATCTTGTATCTCGTCCATTATGTTCTCTATGCTTGTGAACGGATCTCATGCTGGTTTTTTTGCGAGTTCGCGCGGTTTGAGACAAGGAGATCCCTTATCGTCTTTTTTATTCCTTATTGTTATGAAGGGATTGAGCAGATTAATGAAGAGAGCGGAGGATCTGGGTTATATCAGGGGGTTCACAATCGGTAGAGATGTTGCTTATCAGATTGAGATTTCCCATTTGTTGTTTGCGGACGATACCTTGGTTTTTTGTGATGTAAATGTCTCCCAACTCATATACTTGAGGTGCATTCTTGCTTGTTTCCAAGCGGTGTCCGGACTTAAAATCAATGTTGGAAAGAGTGTGCTCGTCCCAGTGGGGGATGTTCCAAATATTTCCTCCTTAGCTACAGTTCTTGGGTGTGGAGTGGGCGCTTTTCCACTTACTTATCTGGGATTGCCTTTGAGAGTTTCTTCCAGGAGAGTGGGGAGTTGGGATCCGGTGATTAACAGGTATGAAAAAAGATTGGTAGGATGGAAAAAACAGTATCTTTCGAAGGGGGGGAAGGTCACTCTTATTAAGAATACCCTCTCGTCCCTTCCCACCTATTTCTTATCTCTATTTCAAATCCCGTGCTCTGCTGCTGAACGGATCGAAAAAATTCAGAGAGACTTCCTTTGGGGTGGAAGAGGAGAGAAGTTCAAGTATCATCTTGTTAATTGGGAGCAGGTTTGCAAACCTTTGAAATTAGGAGGTTTAGGTATTCGGAAGCTGGTCCCTTTCAATAGAACTTTATTGGGAAAGTGGTTATGGAGGTTCGGTAAAGAGCGTCATCAACAGTGGAGAAGAGTTGTCTCGTGTCGTTTTGGGGAGGAGAGTGGGGGTTGGTCCTCTCATCTTGTTTCTGTCACGGGAGGCGTTGGCGTTTGGAAATTCATTCGGAAGGGTTGGGATGTGTTTTCCACCCATATTAGATTCAAGGTTCGTAATGGTAGGTATGCTCGATTTTGGGAAGACTTATGGTGTGGTGATCAGTTGTTGTCTCTTTCCTTTCCTCGTCTCTTTAGTATTGCCGAGAACAAGCATGCTTACATAGTTGATTGTTATCATCTTGATAACAGTGGGGTTACGTGGATGTGCGTTTCAGGCGTTCTTTTCAGGATTGAGAGATGGCAGAAGTATGCGCTTTTTTGGATTTGTTGTATAGACAGAAGGATGTTGGCAGAGGTTGTGATGATATTCTGTGGGTCCCTTCCACTCGTGGTAAATATGGAGTACGATCCATGTTCTTGTGTTTGTCTAATTTCACTGGCCAAGAATTCCCATGGAAGCCTATTTGGCGGCGCTCTAAAGCTCCTCCTCGAGTCGCATTCTTTGTTTGGACCACCACCTGGGGAAAGATTTTGACATTGGATAATTTGAGAAAGAGAGGTAATGCCATTGTTAACTACTGTTGCCTATGTAAAACAGACGGTGAGTCCATGGATCACATTCTTATGCATTGTCCTGTGGCGTATGATTGTTGGAATCTTATCTTCAGTATTTTTGGCGTTCAGTGGGTGATGCCTAAGCACTCTATTCAATTAATTAGTGCATGAAGAAGATGCCCAGTTAAAAGTCATGCTCGTGATTTTGGAGGATTGTCCCACATTGTGTTTAGTGGTGTATCTGGAGAGAGAGAAATAACAAAAATTTGAAGGGAAGGAATCGACTATAGCAAATTTAAAATCTCTTATTCTTCGTTCTCTTTTCTGTTATGTAAGAGGAACGCTTGCTCCTCGATTGCTGATTTATTTGACCTTTTGGACTCTATTGGTCCTTAGGGTTTTCATTTTTGTGTATTAGGGACGTGTTCTCCTTTTGAACGCTTTTCTAATATATTTTACTTATCAAAAAAAAAAATGTAGAAATGACATGTAACTAGCTTCATAATTGAATGAGCAAAAAAATCCCTGTACCTTGTTCCACACCGTTAACTTTGGAATTGATAACACATTCAATTGTGAAAGAACTTTGTTCACAGCGTCTATCTGTTGCTCTGCCAGTGGATGGCTGAATGTCATATAGATATATAGCAAGACAACGTTAAATATAAAAAGGTAATGTCAAATTATCGGAATTAACTATCGTTCATTGAATAACAAAGCCATACCTAAATTAATTAACTATTATTCATTGAATAGGCAGATTATACCTAATGTCCACCACATGCACCAGGAGTGATGACTCTGAGATTTCCTCTAATGTTGCCCTGAAGGCAGCAACCTACAGCAAGAAGCAATGATAGAAAGGAACAGACAATTATTTCTGGGGCTTCACACCAAAGAAAGGTTTAACATTTACCGGAACCTCTTCTTTGATAACTAGGTACAAAGGAAAAACAAAGAAAAATAATGCAAGTTGTAGAGAGAGAAAACATGAGCAGGTAGACGATGTAACATAATAACATATGCAACTTGAAGTTGCAACATAGCTCACCAGCGTAGTTGGTAGCTTTTGGATGAATCCAACAGTATCTGTAAGAAGAAACTCCTTCCCATTCTTCATCTGGAGACACAATCACCCAAAACAAAAAGAAAAGAAGAAGAGTAACCGCTAAGAAATGGAAGTGAGATTGTGGAAACTTAATCCAGTACAAATACTTTGGGAGTGGCGTAGAGCCAAAATGCTCAGCAAGAATTTAGTTTGACAGATAATTGAATGAACACTTAAAATCATCATGTAGACTTGTTTCCACGCATATGATGCTGTAACATAAAACCATTTAGAAACCCATTCCTACAATCTACCTCATGAAAGACACTAGTATCTTGAGCAACTACTTGTCTTCTTAAATAACAGTACAGAATGATATACCATAGAAAAAATTGTACCACGAGAATTTTAAGAGTATACTCTACTGACCTGCACCCTTCTTGTAGTAGGATCAAGTGTAGCAAATAATCGATCCTCAGCAAGAACATTAGCCCCTGTCAATCGATTTAAAAGTGTACTCTTTCCAGCATTTGTGTACCCAACCTAAAATCATAAAATCTATATCTGTGAGAGAATTTTATATATATACATGTGTGTGTGTGTGTGTAAGAATCTTAGCAACCAATATAAACAAACTTTCTGTGATTGCAAATCCACGTGTTCCCTTACCAAGGATACCACAGGAATAGGTACAGAAGTACGTCTGTTCCGGTACTGCTTTCGATGTTTTCGAACTGATTCTAGCTCTTTTTTAAGACCACCAATCTATGAATGCAAATGAAATTCCAAAGGCAAAGTCAAATTAGAAGATAAGCATAACCAAATCATAAACTTCAGAAGGACACGCATAATATATGCAACCACATGAACAAGGAAAAAGATACTGATCGTACGGATTGTGATTGCACTCAGATGATATTTCAACATCATGAATTTTTGTTGTTTGATATCTTCAATTTAATTTTTCAAGGAGGGGGTCTGTAGTTTTAGCTTCATCTTACATCTTAATCAAACTTAGCAAAAAATTAAGTCATAATTAAGGTGTTAATTTTATCCTCTCTGAGGAGAGGAATGACTCTGACAAAGAAATGAAGAATGAAGAAAGATGGAAGAAACAAACAACTGAATAAGGAGGCTTATTTAAATATATATATATATATGTATGAGAAGGCATACCCCTTATTAAAATGTTTTCTAAAACTTATCCTCACTGTTTATGATGTCCTAGCTGAACACTGGACCAATCAATGGCTGAGGTCGCCTAGTCAAATAGTTGCATGGCAATTAAAGATGTGAAAAGCCTATGTTTATACAAAAATAATAATAATTAAATAAAATAAAATTAACTGTTAACATTGTATACATTCATTATATGTACATATGCATGTCTTTTTATTTATATTTTTAATTCATGTGCATTATACAATTCTTACCATATACAAGTGGCTACGTCTACCTATCTTAACTTGTATCTAGTTCAAAAGTGTAAATATATAAGAGGTTAACATTTGAGTGCCAACTTCTCATGGTTGAGAATTTGGCATGCTGAGGAAACATCATGGATACTGGAGTTCTATAGTTCTCATATTCAATAAATGACTTCTTTAACATTTAATAACTATTCACCATCTGGCTTAGAAGAACATAAGGCTTAACATGGTTTGATTCCTTGTACGAACAATAGCAAATAAACTGGAGAGGCTTTGGAAGAACATTTTAGCAAGCAATAAAGCAAAAGAAAAGCTTCTAGTTTACATATGTTAATCCGAACACGAACGCAAATCTCTTCGCAAGGGACAAAAAAGAAAGAACCATATTGTTAATTACCATCTACTCTAAAAGCTCAAGCTATTAGAGAAGGTGTAACTCTAATACTTAAATCCTTCAACACGCCTCCTTGCGTGTGGCCTTCTTTTGGTCCAACACATGTTTTTCAACTTTTTAATTAGGCTGACAGTGAGGTTTGAACTCGAGACCTTTGGCTCTGATACCATGTTAACTACCATCTACTCTAAAAGCTTAAGCTATTAGAGAGGGTGTAACTTTAATATTTAAATCCTTCAGCACATGCATGAACACAATAACAGTTTTATGACTAGTACACACTGTACAAGAACCTACCCATAAACATAAATTGAACGAGAAAGGCTGCTTACTTGAGTACGTAAAATACGCTTGTCAACTTCAATTTGTTTCTCACCCATTCCCTTAACCTTCCCTCCGGCTTGACGCTCAAGGTGAGTCCACATTTTTGTAAGTCGTGGTAATTGGTATTCCATTTGTGCCAAGGCAACCTAAAATGATTTTTGGTCTTGTCAGTATAAGCATATGAACAAAAATCAGAATATTATTTCAAAGCATAACAGCAAATTTGCCTGCAAAGCTGCTTCATGCGTTGCTGCTCGCTGGTTAAAGATATCCAATATAAGGGCAGTGCGGTCACAAACTCTAACATCTCCGCCAAAAGCCTTTTCCAAATTACGCAATTGTCTGGAAATTTAGCATTGTAATAAAAATGAATAAAAAAATAACAAACATTCATAATTACAATCCTCATGCACCAAAACCAAAATTATGTAAAGATATAGTTGAAGGTAAACCATGAGGTATTCAATTAATCACCCCAGACCAGCAGGATATTTAGTCCTTTTCTTTTAAATGCCAGACAGAGAGCTATCAGTAGTAATGAAATATTAGATATACTTTCTACGTATAACCAGATGAACATGGTAACATAAAAATTATTTACAAAATTAGCTTGGAAAAGATTAATTCAAGCTATAATAGTTGCATAAATAAATCAAAAGCAGCGAAAAGCAACTGTTCAATTTCCTGGGTCAAGCCATGAAAAGCTTCAGTGTTTACAAAATAAACCTGTCAAATGGAATTAGCAATGAACACATGTTACACATCCATAAGAAGCATAAGGTAGCACCTACTAAAGATATATGTTAAATGGACTCTTTAAACATAGGTAAAGCACCCTGGTCAGACACACAATACTCAGACGTGTATGAGAAACGTGTCCGACCTTCTGGTGGGACTGGGGACATGCACCTAAAAACTATATCAAATAATTCAGTTTTATTGTGTAATTGTTTCAAAATGAGTGAAGTGCCTAAATTGAACACTATATTATATAAAGACATAATTTTACCATTGAAAATAAAATAAAAATATCAAATACTACGAATATTTATCAGCGTCCCTGACACGTCTGACATTTATATAAATACCCGCACTGACGCACGTATACAAGTCCATATAACATAGCTAAAGAGATATAAGTGAAAATTGCCTATGGTAATTAGGGCAGATGCAATTAATATTGATGACTGAATCAGTGAGGATGACAGATTTAATCCACATTTCAAACTAAGGAAATCAATAGCAAAGAGGAAGGCTGGAAACTTTGGGTCAAGGCAGTAAATATTGGCCCATTATTTACCACAGGGTATGGAACTCTAAAGCACTGTGACCAATTTTGTGGGCAACCCAAGTTAACAAGAATACAGTCACATGTGAAACTTGGTAGGCATAGTTTAAGTCATAATGCAAAATAGTTGTCCAATATAGCAGTAGCTGTGTATTTAAGAGTGTCATCTTCTGGAAGCAATCTCAACATGGAGCATAATATCATTAGAAAACTAACCCTGCTGAAAGCTCATCATCAAATATTACAGTCTCAACACCAAATGCATGGATTGCACTCTTGATTTCTGCAACCTTGCCAGCTCCAATGTATGTCCTTGAGTTTGGAGAAGCAAGTCTGAACCATAAGAAACGAGCTATCAATCTAAATGAATTAACATGTGTACCACACCACATGGAAAATTTATACAAGCAAATAGCACAATAAAAGTATCGATTTTTGGCACTGGAGTTCAATTCTTGTGCCTATTAAAAGGAATATAATAAATACAGTGTCATGGAGCTAATTAAAATTAGATGCACAATTTTTATTGTAGATATTCAACCATAGGATGCCAAATTGATATTAAATGAAAATTACTTAAGACTTTAGAGCTTTTTGACTTAAAAGCTACACCCACAACACACTATAGCTCCAAAAAGTATGCATTTGCGCTAATTTCTCATCTTCATGTTTTGAAGGTTGAGTCACACAACCTAGTGCCAACAAGAATGCTTGAGGACGTAAGCGGTTAATTTGCCCAACAAACATCTAGAAGACCAACAAGACCTCAATTTTGCTTAGTTGTCCCAATCCCACCGCACCCCATACACGCCCCAAAAAAAAAAAAAAAAAACTTACAACTCACTACACAGAGATCTTTAAAATGACAGTTACAACTAAAATTCCAACATGTTTTTATTACAAAGTCAACTTGAATAACTAGGAAAAATTCAATGCCTTATACATGGTACACAGTATCTTTACCAGAAATGCAAGCAAAATAATGTTCACTATGTTGAGCATCGCATTACCTATTACAAGCAATGAAATGGAATATGTAAGAGTAGCACTCACTTTTGATATGTAGAATCAACAACCATGAGTCCAGCGGTGTCTGCTAGTTGGGCCAATTCCTTGAGTGATTCCTCTATACTAAAGGTATCCTCTCTATCACCTTTGCGCTGAACACCTACGAGGTAAGCTTTCTCCTCAAAAACCTAAAAAAGAAAAAGAGAAGAAATCCAAAATCAATACTGGGAACTCTTTGGCAACAACAAAGTATTTAACGTACTTGGACCGTTATCCATGGTTCTGACGTATTGGAGTGCATGCGGTTGGTTAGACCTAGAGGCGGTGAATAAGTCCCACGTATATCAATTCACAATAAACTTTTTGAATCACTGTTAATCCTTGTTTAAAATTTAATTAATTAGTTTGATTCATGTCTCAATATCAATCACATAAATATTTATCCAAAAAAAAAAAAAAAAAAAAAAGCAATCATATAAATAGATAAAGCAATAGATAAAGGAAGAAACCATGGAACCTAATTCAGATGATCAAAATCCACTATGAGAAAGATCTTACCATACAGGAATCACCTAGTCACCTACTCAAACGTAAGCAAGATCTCAGTTATTGATCCATCAATCTGCCTGATAGTTTCAATTCAGCTCTTTATTTTAATTATCACAATCACATATAATATGGTAATATATGAAGAACCCTGGATTGATTCACAAAACTCTCTCTAAAAATATAAATTCTCTAAATAATATGTAAATAATTAGAAACCATTGTGTGAGATACCATAGACTGACTATAACCCCATATTTATAAGTAATATAGGAGACCCATATAGTATGTTAAATAAAATCTTATTAGAATTTGATTTGATAGTTTTCATAAAAGTTATTCTGCAGGTTCGATCGACCAATAAGTTGATCGAGCACCACACTGTCACTCTTGGATCAATCGAGCCTCCAATTGAAGCCCACTGAACTTTAACAAAAAAAAAGAATCTGCAACATACTGATCGATCGACCGTTTGATAGATGCTCATTGTCTTGGAAAAAAAAACTCAATTTAAAAAATCATTAAGTAAACTTAGGATAAAAACACTTTTTTGAAAATATGTTTAAAAAATACTTTTGAGCCAATATAAAGATCAAACCTAGGTCAGAGATGGTATCTATCGTCTCATTTACCTTTAACCTAGATATGTAATTAAGTCTTGCAAGATTTGTGCAGTGTTCTTCGCTGTTCTTTATCTGTGTCATATTCTGACACTGAGAAACACTATTTTGAGTTGAAAATTGTCTACACGTAACTCACAAATTTTGGATTGCTAAGACTACTCAACCAAGCAATCGGTGGTTCATCAGAGAGGCAGAAGCTAAATTTCATTCTCAAGTAGTAAACATTATAGATCAATGCTGTTACATGAGAAAAGCAGGGTCCATGGGCTCCCTCACTCCATTCACTTTCCATGTAGTTACCGAACTTGAAATGAAATATTTGAATCTTGCAACAGTTTGGTGGTTCAAATTGCAGCTGAAATTTTCTAAGTTTCATTTCACAAGACTAGAACTGAAAATCATATTATAATAAACCCATAAAACTCAAACAAATCCAATGTTTCTTATTTTACTTTTTTCAATAAATAATTGAATAAAAAACTGAAGAAGTTCAGAATGCACCATTGTATGCCAACTTCAATGGCTGAAGCTGTTTTTAATTTTTCAAAAAAATAAATAAATATATATATATATATATATTGAAATAAATATAAAGAAAATAGAAACATGAAAAGGATGACTAACCTCTCTTCCGTTTCGCAGCTTGAACCTATCGTCATAGCTCTCCTTTTCCTCATCTTCTTTCTTCTCAATTCTTTTCGAAGAAGCTTTTGTCGAATTTAGGTTATTCTCATCTACTACTACTTCAGCGTCCACAATTCCTCCATTAACCACTTCATCTTCAGTATCAATAGTCTCTGGCTTTGGCAAAGAAACGGCGTCGTCGGGAGAGAGGACGCTAGTTCCATCTTGAAGAACTCTGATGCATCTCCAAGGTGAATTGTTCTTTGTGTGGTGTCCTCGCAAAGTGAAATGAACTGGTCGATTAGGGTTTTGAATCCATCTGCAATTTGTATCGGGAAGGATGATAAGAGGCGATGATGGTCTTACTATTGACCAAAAGCATGCACTCACCATGGATGGATAAACAATTATACTTCTTTGTCAGCTTCGTTTTCACTGGTTAGTGTGGACCATTCAATTCGTTTACAGGTGAATTTATATATATATATATATATATATATATATATACATATACATACATGACCGTTTTTGTGGATACTAATAGTAATAGGGTGCACGTGGTCCGGTTTGGACTGAATTCGGAGTATTTTGGACCAAACCACTCATAACGGTTTCATTATTTTTAAAATCAGACCGAATCATAATGTTAATGAAACCAAATCAAACCGTAAAAAACCGGTTTAGTTCGGTTCGATTTATTGGTTTTAATTGATTCCCTTTAATTTAGTTTAATTTATAGCAGTAAAGTTAAACAAAAAAAAAAAAAAAAATTTGAGATATATTTTAAAGGAAAAAAATTTGAGATATATTTGAAAAGTGAAATTTAATTTTTTTTAAAAGAAATTTAAATAACAAAAGAAAGAAAGGGGGCACATGAGAACTTTACTTGACTTAGGTTTAGGATATGATATATATATATAAATATATATATGTGTATATATTATATAACATAGTAACGGTTCGATCCGGGTTGGTCCGGTCCAGTATGACCCTAAACCAGGAACGAACCAAAAAATTAAGGTTCCATAATTTTAGGCCCAGAATCGGACCAAACCGCTATACAACCAATCCAAACCACCCAATTCAGTACGATTCGGTCCGATTTTTCTGTTTATCGAATTTTTTGAACACCCCCGGATAGTATCGATTTACAATATGGGCTTTCATATAGGAGCAATATTTGTACGAGTGGTTGAAGAAAAGACAATGGCCCATTCAATCCTTTATGGACGACCCAATTGAATGTTTGAAGTGGGTGTGCAAAGGTTTCAATTAGATTAGTCCACGTGTATTTTGAAGTTAAATTGGTTATAAAAATTTCATAAAAATTTGAAACGAATTGACCATGAGATTAATAGAACGGAGAAATATATATATATTCAATTCGGTTAGGTTCTACAGAAATGAAATATTTTATTATATATTATATTATTTAAAAGGTAAATCTTAAAATTAGATGCGTCCGGCAAACCAGGCTCATCCGACGATTCGGAGAAATCCGATGCACAATGCGCTGGGCACACCCAATACCTTCTCTGTCGAAATATAAATTAAAGTTGACCTTAAAAATGTGAAAATATATACACACACAACTATATAGTTGGAAATTGACCGCTTCTACACAATGACAAGCAAAATCTACCCAATGTGGAACCCAAACAAGATTTACATACATTTATGTTGTTTTACATCTAATATCATTGCTCTCTTGAGATGGATTGTTCGTTAGTAACAAACATTTGTTTTAAAGCATATTATTGTTCTACTACTAGACAAGTTTTTTGTTTATCAAATGTTCAATTTTTAAAATACAGATTATAATTATCAAACAATCTTTTTTCTGTTTATTATTCTCTAAACAAGTCCAACATTTGAACCTTACCAAACAATGTTTCTATTTATTTTTATTTTTCTCTTATTTATTTCTTTTGGAAAGTTGAGCAATGTATATTAGCTTGTAAAACTTTACATTACTCCATGTATACACTTGGGGTTTACAAAACATGGAATGGAAACAAACTAAACTATTTCATCCCGAACGTGTAAGCCCAACCAAATAATATTCATCATAATGAATTCTAGTGGATAATAATGATATATATATATATATATAAATATATATAAATGTTATAGCTTATTAAAAATGCTTAATAATTATATATTTTTTACTAAATTAACAAGATTTGAGCATGAGATGATGAAGTTTATTTGACACATAACACGTGAAAAAAAAATTAAAGTAATTAGAAAATGATATAATAGAAGTCTAATGCGTTATTTTGTTTCTTAATCTGAAAACAGTGAAATTAAAACAACAACAATATATTCTAAAACAAATGTAGTGGGGAAGACGAGGCTGCTGTGACCGCTCTGGATTAGAATGGCATCGTTATAAAAAGTTTGAAATCTCTTCATCCACCGGATAACCTGCCAAAATATAAACTAGATTTAGCTGCAAGTGTCGAATGTTTCAGTGTCACATAAGTGAAATTTCATAAGCGAAAATGTTTCATAAGTGAATCTTTATCCACACAAGTGAAAATGGTTCGGTCATAAGTGACATTTCATTAACAGTTTTATAACCTGTAACAAATGAAGCAGCAAGAATTTTCCTCAAACCATGCTATTCCATTGACACTGAAACATGGTTACATGGATTCGGAGAGAGAATAAAAATAATAGTAATAACAAAAAAGGGGATAATAACTACCGTACCTGTTCAGCAACCCACAAACAGGTCAAGGGTCAGGGCAGAACATGTAAAGATATGAACTATAAAATCGCCAATTTTAACGAAACATCATAAAACCAGCGAGCATACAGAATCATTTACAATATGACGTGCATCAATTTGAATCTTCCTCCGTCTCAACTTGCTTCCCGAATTTCCTAAGTGCAAGTGAATATATTGTTTTCCTTCTCATGGATGTTCCTTCGGCCACCAACTTGACTGCCTACATGCACAGAGTAAGGCCATCATAGTCAACAATTAGAAGACTTCATGATCCTTTTAATAGATAGCAGACAAGATATAATTCCTTAACAAAAACTGAATACAGTCTAGTGGGAAAAAATTACAAATAATTTCACGAACAAAAATTAAACAGAACAATATAGTTTTTTCTATAGTATGTTTACACAGAACCTAAAATCAAAATCTGAAAGTACATTTCTTGATCAACATGGACAGGATACGAGCCAAAAAAATGAAATAAGAAACCAAAGATATTGATAAATGTCTGATGCATCAAATGGAACTCCATAAATATCAACAATCAAATTTCTCAAAATCTGATGAATTTCACCAAAGAATATCTTTCGATGATAAAACAAAAATCTAACAGAACATAAACTTTATAGGCAGCAAGCATAGGTGAGTTTACACATTAACTTGTTTGTTAGTTTATCTAAATGCGTGATTGAAAGTACAAAGAACTTCCCCCAATTGCAAAGAGAAATTTTACACTCCCAATGATTTCCAACCACTTTTCCCTCTCAATTTTCCTTATTTATAGACGGTTACAACCTCCTCTGACCTGGGCCTTACTTCTTCTCTTTTACCTGGACTCAATTTCTCTCATCTTAACACGGGTTTCCACAATGACTTCATGGATCTGGGCCCATCCAGCGTGGACTTGCTCCATCCTAGCTATCCATGCCCGACCCGTTCTTAACAGTATGGATCCTACCAAGCCCAGGTCACTTTGGTGTCCTCATCTGCCCCTAATAATCTCTCCCCTCATTAATGAGGGTGAGATTATTGAAAAGACACGATCTTGGTCTGACGGCTCGGAGCGATGACACGAGAAATCGAACGGCTAGCACAAAAACCCAAACTTCGAGATCTGCAGCGCCACTTTTTGCCTTGACCTTTTGAGTTCCATGTCGCCTTCACCTTTTCTCCTTATAAACCCCGATCTTTCAACTTTTGTCTTTCTTTTTCATACCCCGCTTTTACTCTCCGCTGCCTTCCTGTACATTCCGGCGATCCTTCTTCAACTTCTCCGGCGAGTTTTTCCTTTACAATTTTGGCTACTGTGCTGTGGCTGTGTTCATTACAAACTTCCAAGGTCAGTTTTTTTTTACCTCTCTCTTTGAGAAAGACACCTTTATTGCCTAGGATTCCTCCCCTTCTCTATGGCTCCCCCTAATCTGAACGCCATCCGATCCAAGAACAGCATTCCCAATGACGTTTCTCTCAGGGTCTATCCAATAAACTTAGACGGGAGATCTGGTGAGGGTCTCCTTCCTGAGGAAGTTTTATTCTCCGCCGTTCATTTAAACGTCATTAGGTTCCCTTTGCACCCATTCTTTTGTTATGCTTTCAACAAATTGGGGCTCTGCCCCCTGCAGGTTAACCCCAACTTCCTTAGGGTAATTTCAGTCCTCTTGCTCTTGAATCGTGATAGGGGTCTCAATCTTGACATCATCGACCTTCTCCTCTGCTACCGGATTAATAAAATTACACAAAATGATTTGTACCATCACTTCTTCCTTATTGACAAACAGTCGATCTGCACTAATAAGAACTCATTTGAAAAAGGTTGGAGACAAAACTTAATTGTGGTTAGTGGGAATTGGCGGACTTCGCTCGGCCAATCTTTCTCTATCCCATCTTCCTTTAGAGCATGCTCTGTCTCTGGCTACAAAAAACTGAAAACACATCCTACTGAATGCCATTGTGAAAGTTGCCTTCCCCGTTTTTGCACTTTTCTTTGTAGATGCCTTCAAATTCCCCATGATGAACTGGTTTATAGCGTCTGCAGGGCTAGGCTAGACATCTTGCAAGAGAGTGTGCTGAACAACGTCCCTTCAGCTACTGATTTGCTTACATCTGACAATCTCTCTGATATCTCTCTTTTAGGGTCCACAATGGAAAGCATTCAGATCCCATCTTTCAACAGGAGGAGGCGTTCTGCTCCCACCCCTTCTAACGCTCCTGCTACCACATCATCATCTACACCTGCTGTCTCTGCCCCAGAACAAGTTATGATTGCTCCAACTGTGACTCAAGTCACAAACCGTTCTGCTGTTGAGCCTTCTGAGCTCACTCATGCTGAGAACCCTATTGTGGATCACACTGCTGAGATCCGTCCTGCTGCTCCCATCATTATGCCTTCAAACATCTCGTCTGGTACTTCCTCAGAGAGCACTGAGGATGCTGGAAATTCTCAGGACAATGGAGGACCAGCTAGTGCTGGTCTGTCAAAAAAAAGTTTGGGAAAAAGGCCAATGCCTGAGGGCGGTCATGACCGGAGTGATGTCCCACTAGCCCGGAGGACCAGGATGGCTTCTTTCTGAGTTACTGAACCATTGCCCCCTGCCCGGTTCTTCATTCCAGAGGGCGAATCAGCTAGAACCTCTGGTCCAACTCCATCCGTTCTTCCATGACGACCTTTGCTCAGCCGTGAAGATGGCTCGACCATTGGCCCCACCGACTCTGTGTATAAGGACCCTCTCACCTCCTTTG